ATTCTCCTTACTGTCTGCTATACAATTCTTATGATGTTAGTTTGATCTCATTAGTAATTCTCCTTACTGTCTGCCATACAATTCTTATGATGTTAGTTTGATCTCATTAGTAATTCTCCTTACTGTCTGCTATACAATTCTTATGATGTTAGTTTGGAGAATTTGTCATCAGACCATCTACATAATTTGTAGAAATCTGCTACACTTGTTTGCTTGATAATTTTGTTTTAATATTGTTGGGAGAAATGCTATCTTGGTCACTCAAGAGTTTAAGGGTTCATACACATTATTGTCCGAGCACAAATTGTACACTCATTTTAAACTTGAATTTGCAAGGAACTGAAAAAGGTTTGGGCTTATACTTGCTGGGAAATTGTTTGTCTGATGCAATAGTCCTGTTACACTTTTTACTAGTACAAGTAGTTACATATGATGAGTTCCAGTTGATTGAATGCATGTCATTTACAAATATTTATACTCATTTTTATTTCAATGTCATTATGCATGTTTTTGTTAGGTGATTAGGAAAAAAAGGTTATAATTATAGTAGTTACATATACATTGTAATCTATCCATAGAAAAAGAGTAGAGGTTTGAAAATGAACATGTTTTTATATACGCAGTACCATTTGATTTGCTATGCTTTTTTCTCTGGTGTAGCTCAGACAAGTTTTGCAAAGTCTGCCTTCTTGTCCTAAGCTTTAAAAACCAAATTGATATTTTTGCTGGATTTTTAGAAGATTTTCTCAAATGGAAAACTTATACATGTCACATAAGTATGTGTCCCTGACAACACAGTTTTTGGGCAAGTGAACAAATTCTTGGAAAAGGTGTTCATACTGCAATACATATTTAATTCCTCTGTTTGTGCTTTTTGCTGTAGTCTTTTTTCTCCTTGTCATTTTCTTTTTTTTTATAATCTGTATTGAATTTACAAGTACTTAATAAGCTGTACATCTTTTGATATTGAGACAAATGAGTATTTCAACTGAGATAAGTGAAGTTAAATTTTTACTTACAATTTGCAAATTTTCTTTCAGCGACACCATTCAAGATAAAAGGTTTTCTGTGATGTCTGGGCTATCAAAGGTAAAAGAGAAAACACTTACTTTATTAATTCTGTGGAGCTTTGAAATTAAAATTAATTAAGGTAAATTAGCCTTTTTTCCTTTAAAATTTTCGCTTTAAATACCTTTTTGTGTTATTTAAGCAAATTTGCATAACCTGTTTGTTATATGTTAATGAAGTGTTTGTCATAGGCAAATGAGAAGCACAATTATGTAAGCTCCATGTATAATTATGTTGTAGTTCAATTTTATCCTTGGTTCAAATTCTATTTTCCTTTGTTTCAAACTCATTATCATACATTAACATGACCGAGAACAAAGGAAAATAAAATTTGAACCAAGTATAAAACTGAACTACAACATATACACATACTGTAGACAGTGTCATCCTAAGAAGGTGTGAGTGGCTTTAAGTTAATCATGTACTCCTGTTTATGCAACTCATCTCTAAATGTTTGTATGCAACAAAACTCAATGGCAAGTCTATAACATGTATATCAAAATTATCACAAAAAAGGAAATCTTTTTGATCATGTTAACTCTACAGAGAGTAACTCTCAACTCAGCTGCTTTTCTTTTGAAGGATTTTGCCACTCCAAGAATAGCCTCTACATCACAGGAAGGCCGGCAAAACAAGACACTGAAAGTTACCTTGCTTAGTAGTGAGTGGAGATCCTCAACTGATGGAGACTTTTCAACCATCAGCAGAGAGCTGGCCATCCAGTTAGCTAAATTCTCCAATGTGGAAGTTAGTGTCTTTCTTCCTCAGTGCAGTGATGAGGACAGGAGAAATGCAGCAAGTCACAATGTTCAGCTTATTGAAGCTGAGCAAATGGTTGGAGTGAATCCAATTGACTGGTTGATCAATGTTCCAGATGGACATGTCATGGACTGTGTACTAGGACATGGGGTAACTCTTGGCAAACAAGTGCAGTTCATCAAAAAAGCACATCACAATTGCAAATGGATTCAAGTGGTCCACACTGCCCCAGAAGAACTTGGAATTTACAAAAACATTTTAGAAGGAGAAAAACAGCAAAAGGCAGAAGTAAAACTTTGTCAGCTTGCTGATGAGGTTGTAGCAATAGGACCTAAGCTGGCAGATGCTTACAAGCGTTACCTTCGTTCTGTTAAAAAGGAGCAAAGTGTTTTTGATCTCACCCCTGGAATTTTCTCTGAATTTCTAGACATAGAACAAGCGGTCGAAGAGAGGAGAACATTCTGTGTTTTAGTGATAGGAGGTGGAGACAGCTGTGAAGATTTCAATTTGAAAGGCTTTGACATTGCTGTTAAAGCAATTGCTAAGCTGAATGATATATCCTACCAACTACGGTTTGTTTATTCACGAGAAGAAAAAGGAGTGGAAATAGCTGAAAAGTTGCTTCAGCAGGGAATCAGTCGGAATCAGTTGATTGTTTGCTGCTCTGATGACAGCAGAGAAGTACTAGCCAACTTGTTCTGTGAGGTGGATCTTGCCATAATGCCATCAAGGACTGAAGGTTTTGGCCTACCTGCTCTTGAGGCTTTATCTGCAGGTCTTCCAGTACTTGTCAGTGGTAATTCAGGACTTGGAGAAGTTTTGAAAAATGTGCTCCTTGGCTCACACTGTGTGATAGATTCTGAAGATCCTAAAGACTGGGCCAGAGAAATAAAAGCTTTACGTCAAAAGAATAGAACACTGCGCCTAAAGGAGTCAAAGCTTCTTCGTGACTCTTATCAAGAAACATATGGCTGGGAGAAACCTTGCAAGATCCTAGTGGAGAAGATGCAGAGTGTTACATTTGGTAAAAGCTTCCATTTATTTTAACAAATGTTCTGTTGTAATGCTAAGGGTAAATTTTTTCAGACAATACCCACACATTAACAGCTTTAAACATGCTCCCCATGGAAAACTTACAGGCATTTGACTCTTGTCCATGCCCTGTGAGTGGGGAATTTAAGCCTTGGCTGGGTGGGATGGGGAATTTGAACCAGCGGACTACATGGGTTTTAATTTTAAATATGTAGGATCCAAGATTGAAGGTGTGGTGTCAATTTTTGGAAGCAAATGGCTTGGAAGGAAAATTTGTTACATTGTTAAAGGATGCGTAAAGTGTACTAGTAAAAAAGCAACCAGCAGCACCAAAAAGTACTGTAATGTGTGTCTTAGCTAAATTCTGCAACTTGAGTTGATCACACAGAGAATTGTCCATTAAATAATTGTGCTTTGTTGAGACATTTGAATGCAATTTTTGTCTGAAGGGATGGGAAGTTTAATGAACCAGTTCAAAAGTTTTAATGCCCTTTGGTCAGGGGGATGTCAAAGCTTCAAATTGATTAGTGCATAACGGCATGTGTCATAGACATTTATAAGGGCTTGAATAATTAAAGATAGACTCTTTACTGGCCAGCTCTTAATTTTGAAGGGGTGGTTTTTGAAGTTATATGATACTTGTGATCTCTTCTGTGAGACTTAGCTTCAGATTGAAAGATCTGGGTTTGAGGGCTGATGTGGTTCATGCCTCTGTACTCCAATGCAATGAGCATGCAAGTCAGTCAGTATTAGAAAACCAACTGAGTTTCAAGTTTGGAGGGGGGGGGGAAGGTGGGTGTTTAGAATAACTGCATTTCACAGTGGAGGGGTGGCTTATGTAGCACCTAAGAGGAATTTAGTTCCAGTTGGTTGGGCACCTACATGTAGTGGGCCTTTATTTTGTAATGCATTTTCAGACTATTTTCATTGCCTTGAGAAATAGGTAAAAGAATATTGACACTTGAAATCATTAACTGACTAAAATAAAAATTAACTCATTAAATTGGTTTTGTAGGGTCATCAGAAATCAGGTCGACTACACGTATACCTGGCAGGGATAAGAGGCCATCATTGCGTACTGATACGGATTTCCCTTCAAAGAGAATCAGAAGAGAGTTGATTCATCATGTTCAGCATGGAGGTAATTTCACAATTATGATGACATTACTGTGTACTGCAATTGTAACGGCAGGCGAACATCAAGGCCGAACGTATTGCCGAGAAAATCGCGACCGGAGAAAAATACCAGAACGGGTGGAACTTTACAGAGACCGAAGCGACATTCACATCACATTTATTAATTGATCTCGTAAACTGAAATAAACAATGAAGGACTAGCGTAAGGCAGTTGCACAAACAAACGTTACAAGGCACCAGCGATCAACAAATGAAAACCCTCAGAGGCAACAAAATACAATTAAACAGGCTAAATGCAAACAACCAGAAACGAGCGAAACTATAGAACTAATATAAAGAAATCGACTCGGATATCCACGCGGCCACGAGGTCGCGGTACGTAAAATCACAGTGATCACACACAAAATGAATAACATATTAATTGAACTGCGAACTGGGCTAACCACAAGCAATAAGGATAAATTACAGATAAAACGAACTTACATATCTATCTCGCGACACCGTAGGCCTTTATAATTTCTTTTTGTAGACCACAGCAAAAAATGTCTACTCCACACACACGCTCCGCACGTACTAAATCAATCACATCCAAAAATAGCTAAAGAACCTATCTGCAACGTAAAGCACTGTCGCGCAAGTGACGCGTGTAACTGTAACTTAAAGCGCCGTCACGCAAATGACGCGCATCAACAGCAATTCATTTGCAGTTTTTAAGCACTGTATGGCTTATCGGCAATGGACAATCTTAATTTCTAGACCACTCCTATATCTGTCTATTAGTTTGGTGGATGTAAGTTTCTTTATGCCTTTGCTTCCCTTCTTTCCAGGTCATGAAAACCTGGCATTTCAGGAATTTCATCACCCCCAAGGTGAGTTGTTAGCTAATACATTATAGCTGTTTTCTGCGTTAATCAGCTTGCTACCATCCTGGCTGTGCAGGTCCATCATTTCAATCAGTGAATACTTTCAGTAGTCTTAATGACTAGATTTTTAGTATGAAACCAAAAGGGTGTCTCACTGACAATCAAACATGATTAGCTGGAGCAAAAACACTCTTGGAGAAAATTCTTCCTTATAATGTCTAATAAGGGTAATTCTATGTTTGTGATATTGGGCAGACACTTTGAAAAATGAGAATTAATAATTTTTGATAACCAGAACTCTATGGCCCTTTATTGTTAATTATTGTTAATAATTATTCAACTTTCTGTTTATGCGCATTATATTTATCCCTGTGATATTTACCCCTGTGATATTCTACTTTAGCGACTGTAGCCCCTGTTGCTAAACTAAAAAGAACAGGCATAACTTGTAGTGAAGATTTCTTTAAATTTGTACAGTTTGTGCATGGCCATATCTGCACATTCTTCAGTTCAAGTGTGTAAACTACTTAAAGATCTCCATCACTGGATAATTCACATGTAAAGTTACATACACATTTGTCTCCACATTTTCTCTAGACCATGGCCTTTCTGTGTTTACAAAACTTCTCAGAGCTGAGTACAATAGACGGTCTCTTCTAAAACCACTCTTTTGGCAGAGCACCTTAAAGCTACGACTGGAAGATGTTTACACAAAATTGTCAGTTGTGTCGAGAAGAAAAACAGACTTTGTTTTGGAGAGCGGAACAGTGAACATGTTTGACATTTTTAAAACACTCAACAAAGGCGACGATTCTATCGTACTTGTAGAGGGAAGCCCTGGAATTGGAAAGACAACTTTTTGTCTTAAAATTTCTCATGACTGGGCAAACCAAAATATCCCAAAGGAATCTGCTTTTCCGGTTTTCAAACTTGTGCTGCTGCTGAAATGCCGAGACATTCATGGAGATGTTAAAGATGCCATTGTCGATCAGCTCCTCCCCGAGGATATGGATGAAAAGGCCAAGAAAAAGCTGATAGATTACATCGAAGATTTTCATAACCAGGAGAGTATTCTGATCATTTTGGATGGCCTTGATGAGCTTCCAGAAGCAGGTGAAAGTCATGTGGACAAATTACTTTACAGACGAATTTTATCACTTTGCTATGTTTTGGCCACATCTCGTCAAGAAAAAGGAATTCCAGCACGACAGGACTTTGATTTTGACGTTCTTCTACAAATTGAAGGGTTCACAGAAGCAGATTCTTTTGAGTACGTCAGAAAGCACTTTAGTCGGTTGGGTCCTGATCATGTAGCAAAAGGTGAAAGTCTTATTCAGGCAATCCAAGAAAATACCTTCCTCCATGCACTTCCGAGCAATCCTTTGAATCTGCTACTTCTCTGTGTTGTTTTTGAGGACTATAAAGGTAAGCTACCATCTTCTCGGACTGAACTTTATCAAATTATTGTTCGTTGCCTTTTACGAAGGTATTGTGCGAAAAATAAAGAGGAAGCCGCAGCTGATGACAAAGCTTTAGAGGAACAATTTAAAGACAGTTTACTAGCATTGGGGCAGTTAGCTTGGAGCAGACTGCAGCAAGACCGCTTTTCGTTTCGTGAAGAAGAGTTAGAAGAATTTGAAAGAAAAGTGGAAACTTTGGCAGCTCGTAAACTTGGTTTGATATTTAAAGAAGCCAGTTCTAGGAAGATTAACCCACAGCACGAATATCACTTTTTCCACAAGACTTTTCAAGAGTACTTGGCGGCATTTTATCTAGCGCACAAGCTTCTCAAAGACATAGTTAATGTCTTTCGTGATTTGAAGATGAGATTTCGTGCGGAGGTTACAAGTAAATACAAGCAAGTGTTTATGTTTGTGTCTGGCATATTGGGTGAAAATGCTGTAACTATGTTTGACGAGATTAGCAAGAATTTTCAGCAGGAATTTTTTCTCTGGGAGAAATGCACTGAAGAAGAGGCGAATTTCTTCATTGAGATTATCAGTGAAAGTGGAAATGCTGAACAAATGGCAGTGACTGGATGTTCCATCGTCCACGAGTTTCCGGATGGAGTAACCATTGACTGCCGGAAAAGGACAGGTGTCCTGAAAGTTGCAAATGCATGCAAGGGCATGTCACAATTAAAAAAACTGCCTGTTCATCTTACTTTAAAACACTTGGATGACATAGTTCGTGGTGGTTCTGTTGATAACTCATTAACCTCGTACTCAAAGCTAGAAACTCTTGTCTGTTCGGTTTTCAGTGTAACAGAAGACGTACTGTCCATTGTGTTTAAAGTATTTCAAGTGAACCCATCTTTACATTCATTTACTCTACAAACAATTTGCCCCTTTTCGTCTGAGCAGGCTGCAGCTATTGCTGACAATTTAGCCGCAAATAAAACGTTAAAAACCGTGGCTTTAAAACTGATGGGTCAGTTAGGTGAGGATTGGGCCACTGTTCTTGTAGAAGGATTTCCTAGAGATACATCGCTTACATCTGTCGTACAGGAGATCAATGGCTCAGTAAAAGAAAGTGAAATAGTGGCTTTGAAAAAGGCTTTTTTGAACAGACCGTTTGAATCTCTTAGCCTCGCTATTTATGGAGACTTGAACGATTCGCTGGCGACTTTAGTAGCTAATGGACTCGCAGCCCATCCTTCCTTAAAATCCCTCACATTGGTTTTTTATGGAAACGTCAGATGCTCTGCTTTTACTTTGTTGAAAAAGGGTGTTCTAGAAAATAGTGCTTTGAAGTCACTGAAATTAAGAGTGTTCGGAAGACTTCCCGACAACTGGTTGAATGTTTGTGAGGCTTTCTATGTTGAAAAAAAGTCATCTATGTCTCTAACAATTGAGCCGGATGTAGCCAGCAATACGAAAAGTGCGCAGGTGGCCTGTTTTGGTTCTGTACCAAAGGAAAAACACGACTTTTTGAAACTGCACTCCTTAACTTTGAACATGTTGGGAGAGTTAAATGAGAGTGGAGCAAGGGATTTATACGAACTCTTGATAGCTTCAGGAGTTTCTCGTGTCAGTTTGAATATCCATGGAAGATTAACAGATAGTGTTGCTACCTGCTTGGTTGAGCACTTTGGCAAAGTTAACTCACTGTCTGCCTTGAGTATCGACATTCGGGGAGAGGTGACAAAGGACGGAGAGAGCGCTATTCAAGCGCTAACACGCAATCAAACATTTTCCTGTACTTTAAATGTCTATGACTTAAATGCAGTTGACGAAAGTTGGGAAGAAGTTGAGATAACTGTAATCGATGCCTCGTCATTGACATCAGCGTTCTCGAAAGTCCAGGATACATGTATCGGATCACGTGTCGGTAAAGTTAGACTGAACTTTAATAACTTCAGTGGAATAAGCAAAGACTTGGAATGCAATCTATGCGAAATATTGGAAAAATTTGTGTCACTCACTACTCTAAGCCTTTCGGTGAACACTGATGGAGATTGGAGAGGTGTCCTGGAACACAGTCTGGCAAAAAATACGTTATTAAATACGCTAATCGTCGCAGTCGACAACCACGCTTACAGGAAAGAAGGCCTCAGCTATGATGTGGGAGATTGTTTGACAAAAAACAAGTCATTAACTACGCTAAGCTATACAGTCAACAACTACGCTGAAGTGCCAGTCACGGTACAGTGGTCATTTGGTCTGGGAATAGGTTTGGCAGAAAACAAATCATTGACAACGCTAAGCCTTACAGTTAGCAACTATCGTGACTTAAGAGGAGATTGGACCCGTGATCTGGGAGTAGGTTTGTCAAAAAATACGTCATTAACTACGCTGAACTTTACAGTCAACAACTACAGTGATCTAAGAGGACATTGGGCACGTGGTTTAGGGAGTGGTTTAGCACAAAATATATCATTAATTACGTTGAACCTTGTAGTCAACAACCACAGTACCGAAAGAGGAGAATGGACAAGTGATTTGGGGTGTGGTTTGGCTAAAAATACGTCTTTAACTACGCTGTACCTTACGGTCAGCAACCACAGTAACACGAGAGGAGACTGGGCACGTGATCTTGGGAGTGGTTTAGAAAAAAACACGTCATTAACCACGCTGAACCTTACAGTCAACAACTACCGTAAAATGCCAGACGGATGGGCAGCTGGTCTGTGGAGAGGTTTAGCAAAAAATACCTCAGTAACTACGCTAAGCCTTACAGTCAACAACTACGGTGAAGTAAGTTTNAAAAGTTCGTGTTTTAAGCATCCTTAACCCTGGCTGGGTACTGTAACATGAGCCTGTTGCCTTCCCAGTCGTACATGTAATGATTACAATTTTAGTAGACTTGAAATCTGATATCGAACAGCGCGTCAGTAACTAGATTCAGCAGCAACACCGACGAGAGGGAAGACTGGGTTTGAATCTTACTTACTCAGGGAGGAGAGCGCATTGCATTCCAAGTGAGGAGTCTCTAGTTAGATGTGGTTGTCCATCTTGGTTAAGAAATGAAAGGCATGAATCTGTTCTAGATAAACTCAAGCAATCTGCAGTGCGACAATGAAGCCTTCTGAATAATCTCTGCTACGTCCTGGGAAGCAAAGACTTGGACCTCTCCGTCATTGAGGGTTAATGACCACAATGACGTAAGCGCAGTCCTTGACAGGATATGATGTTAGAGGGCACTTGACAGAGGGTAAGTCGTTGATAACCCTTGAAGTAACTGTCACCCTGTAGGGATTGGCTATGCTGTGCTAAAATTATGATTTTGAGAGCCTGGTAAAATTTATGTGCAAAGAATACGTTTGCGTTATCATTGTATGCCACGAAGTGATCGGTTTTTTCTGTAATCATCAAACTGACTTAGCTTTCATTTACAACAAGTACCACTCTTTTCGCATGGAGCTGGGTTTTCACTTGAGGTTTCTCGAAATCAGAAGCATTACTAGCGCAGCGTTAAGTTAGATCAGTATTTATATTGCTTTATGAAGGAATTTGTGAAGGTAATTTTAGCTAGGTTGTTGTCATCTTTCTCATTCTCGGGATGCTTTGACTATGATAATCCTAGCAGTATGCAAGAGTCTCGTCACATATGAACCTTCCATACACATTAGCTTACTACTGAGGTATCTACAGTCAAGTGATAGAGCATTACAGTGCAAATTCCGCAGATCTGGAGTTCAACTCTTCCAATTCGTCTCAGGCTCGAGAAAAAAACGAAAAAAATTATATCTTTTTCACGAGTTTCTTCTTGTTTCTTTTACAGCCTTCATATCCCAGCTGACCATCTGTCAGCGCGATGAAGGATCAAATGGTGTTGAAGTATCCTTGAGTTTCTCAACCGAGAACAAACCAAGTGACGGGTTATTTCTTGCCAATTAATGGAAACAGTTTTTCAGACGCATAGGCAAATCTTGGTAGTGTTAGTATGCTTCGTGTCGCATTTAAAGATCAATGATGGATGAAGAAAATACTCGGCTGCAGTGCAACATTTTGTACTTTTTAACCAGTTCTAAAGTAGAATAGATATTTTCCGTGGTAATTCCCGTCATTCCTTTGAAGGTGACAGGTTGTGACACGTACGCAGTCTACCACATCACGACTGGTATTGGAAGTGACCTCATCGTGAGTCAAGCGATAGCACTTCATTACCACGATTAGTTCAATAGCCTTTTTTTTATGATATGTAATAAATTTGTTGCGAGGACTTTTGAAAGTTCCCCCTTCAATTTATGTATTGAAACGTGATTAAATTAAGTTGAGTGGTAGAAATTCAAGATTGTCTCAACAAAGCGCTGACACTTTTGTTTAAAAGCAGGAGGATGTTCCGAGAATTATTCAGCATGCAACGATGTCTTCGAAATGCTTTAATTAGGGGTTAGGTGAGGCCGTGCCACAAAATGGTGGCAGCGTCGTGTAGTCCACAGATTCAGAGTCGGAAGAATTACAACGTTTCCATTTTCTTTTTACGTCACTTTTGACTCAAACATTGATCCAGTGAAAGCTGAATTATCGGAGTTGCAAGCAGAAGCGGAAGAATCAACCAAACACAGCGCCACGGTTTTCAGGACATACGATGACTTATGACTTCGATAATCTAGTTCTAATTAGATCATAAGCAACCGAGTCTTAAGCGCCGCACGCTACTTCACTCTCCTTTTGTTTGATCTAGTACATGGTATTTCACGTTCTGCCCTTGTCATTACGTGTTCGACTGTATCTCCGGTGACGGTAAGAGAAAACCACTCTTCAAAAGCATTTCTTTAGCCCATCAGCCAATTTGGCTGATCGGACAGTATTGACTAATTTTACCCGCCTTTGAAGCAGTCATCGCGTGTTGAGCTCTCCTGGAAAAAGAAAAGAAGTAGACTGCGTCAAATGATGTTTCGCTTCAGATAAGTTTATCTGCTTATTGCCAAGTGCCCGCTTAGAACTGAAGATGATACTTTGGTGCGAAAAAAATGTGATCATAACCGAAGACCTTGTATCTAGAGAACTTAGGATATGAGCCTAAAGTACTTGGGGATTCATCGTGAAACTCTAACGACTCTCTTTCTCAAGGACTGAAATCTGAGAAAAGAATTCCCCAGAGGAAAATCCCGACCAGATTAGGTGTAATTTATTGAACCAACTTGTCTCATGGTTGATTGTTAGCTTGTGTACAAATCCTGTTTGACTCCGCGTAATGGTCAACGCCCATTCTACAAGGAGTTTCCCCATCCATCGACTGTTATCCGCTGTTTTGTACCACTAGATGAATATTTATAGTCAAGCCCTATCCTTTTCCCTCTTCATAATTTTTTTTTTCGGTCACCACTGCTTAATCCTGATTGTCCTTTCCAGTTTTCCTATTCCAGATTTTTTATTTCCCATTAGGATGTCCTTCCTGATTGTCCTTTCCAGATTTTCTTCTATGATTCTCCTTTCCTTTAATTCACGACCGGCTGTTCGAATATTGTTTGTTCCTTCTAAGATCGATGTTTTTCTTTGATCTTTTCTTTAATCGGTTAGTTCAGTAGTGTCTGAAAGGGAGAAGGCAAATCGATGATCTCCGAGTAGGACGCACGGAAAATTTTCCCGCCAAAAGGACTCCCAAAAACATTTCCACGTTCCATAGGTTCCTTCAATCCCAGAATGCGTTTGCTCCCAGAAGTCCCTGTAACCGTGCTCAGATTGATTGCGGTGCGCCATCGAAGCACTAAGGAGTCTTGTGTAGCAAACGAACGGGTGAAAACTGCGGCGTATGCTGCCTTTTGAAAACGGGCATCTTTAAACAAAATGACTGCACAAGAACAGATGAAAAAGATGCTGGACGAACTTATGGGAACCCAGAGAGATGGTGAGTAGAAAGTCGTTCGTTTGAAAGTGAAACCGTGTAACTTGTTAGGTCTTCCATTCGTACAATTTGGAAATTCAACACGCTTGTGTTCTAGCTCTTCTTCTCATTTGGTTATTTTACTGACTAAATAGAAAACTCTGTTGTGATGTCGACGCTAGCTCAGTCAAGAGGAGTGAGTTTTTGCCTTTCATGTATTTTTAACTATGCGAATTTGCCGAGTTCCACGTTTTTCAACCTGTGCAGGTCTCAAGAGACAAACATTTCTGTAGGGTTTAACAGTCCCGTTCTTTATAATATATCGCCAGTACCTTTAATTTTCTTTAACTGTATGACGAGTGGATTGAGTCATAACATCTATCATGTGTGTTTCCAAGAAGGGTTTTCCTCGCAGGGTTTTTTTTTTCAAGATCGAGAGAGTAATGCAGCAGCTGCTATATCGTATGTTGTCATTTTGCTATTGGGTTAAACCCGGCGCTATGGAAATGTCACAGTTGTTTAAAACTGTCGTGTAGAATATGTCTGTGCATGTTAGAAACCTTCTGGTCTTAGACAGCTGTTCAAAAGGAAAGTTCTGGAAACAGAATTGATTATATTTTGCTTTGCCGTAGCAGATGCCTAAATTGTTTGGAACATGCTGTAGTAAATATAATTTTGTGTTGTGACTTTTGAGGAAAAATTGTCCAGTCCATTTTACCACCTTTAGCATGGTTATAGAATGGCACTGCTTAGACTTGGGAATGCTTAAGCAAAATCAATGGACTACCACTGTAAACGTCAAGCTCCTAGAGCAACTACCACTGCTTACAACTTAGTGTTAGATCTTCTACAAGGCCCTTTACACAGTAATACACTACACAAGTTTGAGTCATGATGCATTCATGAGAAGGAACTGAGTGCTACTGTGTGTTTAACCACCTTGTGTTGTTACCTGAAACAGTAAAAGTGCATTTTGAATAATAAAATTTTAGTGTGATGTACAGTGAGCCATCTTGTTGACAGTTTAAGTGTGTTTGTTTGCTATACTACCATGTCGTGTTAAAGCAGTTCCCCATTAATACTAGATATTGAATGCTTTCTCAAACAAGGCTCAATGATAGCCATGTACATGTAGTGTGAGCAAGTCATTGGATGCGTAAGTAGGGTGACGTAAGTAGGGACAGAAAATTTCCATTTTATTAATTTATGGTGGTGGGGGTTATACAGTAAACATAACTGTACAATATTGGACATGAACCCTTTAAAAGTCAAAATATGGAATTGGATGTGCATGCAACATAAAATCTTCAGAAGGATTTGTACTTATGATAAACCCATGTTCCATTTGGCAGTGACTATGACAGTGACAAGGAAGATTCACTTTGGAAAATTTTGGGGGGTTAGAGGAATAGTGAAAAAGGTTTTCTTTCTCAGAGAAAAATCCATCTCTTCAATTTGGAGACTAAAGAGTATTTTGAGTTCTGAAAGAAGAACCAAATTCAACATACAGGCATTTAGCTACATATGTACATCTCAGACTGAGTATTTGTGCCTTGTTCTATAATAGTAGTTTCCCTCTGATCACCCAAAGTTTGTTTTGTTTAGGTATTCTTAAAATAAATATGTGAATCCTCATTTGACCTCAGCCCTCCTTTTACATGTATGTCATTTTACTATATCTTGGGGATTGGTTTGTAAGTTCAAAACCAAGAACTACAATATTTATTCACTCAGCTAATGTTTATGTTTTATTAATGTTGTCTTTGCATTTCTAAGGTGCCAGACCAGAAGATGAAGTCAAGTTCTCTGATGACCGCGTGTGTAAGAGCTACCTCATGGGACTCTGTCCCCACGAGCTCTTCAACAACACAGTGAGTAGCTTGTTTAAACAATTTTTTGATTCCATCTTCAGAAAACATCTATCAAATTTTATTTTGTTATTGAACCACTCTTTGGAATGCTATGACTATGAATCCACATTTTCCTGGCTCTCTTTTAACATTCCCTTTCTTATTATTGTTATTATTATTATTATTATTATTATTATTATTATTATTATTATTATTATTATTATTATTTTGAGTGCTATGGGCAAAAAAATAAACTTAAATAGAATCATGGCATACTGTGAATTTTTTTGTATGAAAGGCTTAAGGTTGTCAACCCACTGTAATGCCTTCTACCAAAATTTAAATACCTGTTAAATGTTACAGCTTTCTTGGTAAATGAGATAATGTCACTACTGCAAAGATCACGCTGATACTTAAGAATCATAGGTAGCAGTTATTGTGAAAGGCTGTTCACTAGTGTAAGTTACACTCTACATGTATACATGATGTACATGTAGTTACAGGACAGAAATTCGTCCTACAATATCAATGAAATATCAAGCTCAAGAAGAGCTCAGTGAGTTATCTTTAAACCCTTTTTACAGAATACTACAGTGTACAAGTAGGATTTTTTCTTTTAGAAGCTTCCCTGATTAAGTCTTGTTGTATCCCTTTCATGCTATTCAATGAAGAGCAGTGGATCTTCAAAACTGTAAGTTAAACTGTGCAAAAAGCCATATCTAAGTGAACCTTTTTTAAATTCTGTTTTTCTTTAAACAGCAACTTAACTTTTTTTTTTGCTATCCAGTGTACTTAAATATTATGGTAATGGTATTTACTTTCAGATTTCTGTATCTTTGAGCTTATTTTTCCTTCCAGAAAATGGATCTTGGTCCCTGTAACAAGATTCATGAAGCTGCCTTGAAAGCAGATTATGAGATTGCATCAAAGAAGAGAGACTATGGTTATGATGTAGATGTAAGTACACAAACGTAACAGGGGGTTTCTCATGTTCTAGTTATTGGCTTAAAGAGTTAAGTGATAGGGAAGGTACGTGTAGTCCTTCACCATCCAAGTTTTCTTGCCAATTCACAACTTGTTGCCATTGAAAAGGTCCCTCTGGTTCCTGCACTGAAAGTAAGAATAGGTGCAGGAGGGTGGAGAAAATGTTATGCTTGTGCAAAGTAAAACAGAATGTCAAGGGCTGAAAAAGATTATCAAACAAAATATGTAAAATCTTGAATACTTTTGATATAGATACCATGAAACAAGTTTGGGTTTAGTGAATGTGATTTTCTTAAACTATTTAGTTGTACTTTTAATAGTGTCTTCTGTGATTAGGATGATCATTGCCAAAAATTATTTTGAAAAATATATCAGTGTAAGAAATAACATGGTATTACATGAAAATGTCAATTTTATTTTTATTTTTATCAGCAAATGGAACACCTTCAGTCTTTCATCAAGGACTGTGACAGAAAGATCCAAATAGCAAAGAAAAGGCTTGAGGAGACCCAGGATGATCACGACAATGTCCCTGAGGTTGGTGTTCAATCCACAATCCAGGTCTAAATCCACAATTAATCTACGTCTAAATCCACAACCCAGGTCTAAATCCACAATCCAGGTCTAAATCTGCAGTGTAGGTCTAAATCCACATTCCAGGTCTAAATCCACAATCCAGGTGTGAATTCACAATCCAGGTTTAAACCACAATCCAGGTCCAAATCCACAATCCAGGTCTAAATCTGCAGTGTAGGTCTAAATCCGCATTCCAGGTCTAAATCCACAATCCAGGTGTGAATTCACAATCCGGGTCTAAACCACAATCCAGGTCTAAATCCACCATCCAGGTCTAAATCCAGGTGTTTTTCCTATTGCCCAGGCACTCTGTATAGAATGCGTGTTTCAGTTTGTGTCCAGTGTAGTCAAAAATTTTGCAGTCAAGAGAAATCATTGTGGGCATGCATAAGAACTGTTTCAAAAGCACTTTTTCAAAAGCATTTTCACTTGCTGTTTGAAAGGCTTTTCCCATGCCTTTCACATGACTGTCTCTAAAATTTACTAGTGAAATATGTATGAAATCCTTACTAAGACTGTGCCTTGATTTTACCATGATGAGCACATGTGTACCTGCAGATACTGAAGAAGAACATTTTCAAAATGTACTCTGTCACTACCAGTTGAATAAGTGTTGGTTTCTGGAAATTCTGCTTTTAACAAAAACCTGGCTCTAGAAACTGCAAAACTCCTTAAAAATAACCTTTTTGATTTGTGGTTTACAGAAAAAACTAATAATATGTTGCTTCTTCATCAATTTTTCTTGCCTCTCAAAACTTGAAAGAGGCGCCAAATTTTTTTCCAGACAAGAAAGAATATTTTAAGTATTTCCCCCTAGATATTGCTGGACCCAAATTTTCTCAAGGTATTGTTTAAATTTTCACATATTGCAAGAAATTTTAAAAAAATTCTTTTTTTCAGTGTACAAAAGTTCATTTGTGTCTGTACTAACTATAACTTAAATTTGTGCAGTCACAATTTTGTTTTATCTGCAGAAACCTTTTTCTGTTCATTCTCTTAAAAGCCAGTTCAGTGTAGAGACTGGTGTTAAATAATCTTAAAATTATTCCATAATTTAGTTGTAGTGTAGTGGTTAGTTTGTGGTTATCCCCATTTGTGCTGTTTGGCTGTTACAAGGGTGAAAAGAAATATTTTACCTGGTGGATTTCACATGTCAAAGGAAACAATTGTTTTATAAGTTGAGCTATACTACAACCTGCTTGGTCAGCTAATTTTTTTGTTTTTTTTTTTGTTTGAATGCTGTACTGCTGTGCAGGAAGTTGAGGGTTCAAACCCTAGACTGGACAAACACTCAGGGTCTTAAAATAACTGAGGAGAATGGGCTACCTTTGCTATGACATTAGCAATGTCTCTGAATCTTTTCTAGTCTTTCTTTCTCATCTAGCCTTTTTTGGATCAGGGCAATGAACCATAGGCCCTCTCCTTCATATTCTCTGTATTAGCAGGGGATGTTAAAGAACCCACACACTTCTTGCAAAGAGTAGGGAATGTAGCTCCCAGAGTTGTAGTCTGGCCTTCTTGGTTATATAGGGCCCCATTCAAACCAGCTTTAAGCTGAACAGGGCTAGCCTGTCTGAATATTACTAAGTGTACATACGTACAGTATGTATGTACCTGTGTCCCATACAGGGCTGAAGTTTTTTTCAGGACTTATTTTCACTACTGCTTAAGTAGTGTTCATTTCAGCGAAGATTGATCTCACAATAATTTCTTTAACTGCAGTTCATATATATGATTTTCATATATTCACAAGCATTGACTAAGCACTTCAAGGGTTTATTATGAACCAACACAATGACCAGTTCCCAGTTGTCAGCTCAGATGGTAGAGCACTACACCGGTATTGCAGAGGTCATGATTTCAAATCCTGTACAGGCCAGAATTTTTTTCAGGCCCTATTTTCACTTCTGCTTAAGTAGTAGTCATTTCTCCAAAGATTGATCACACACTAATTTCTTTAACCACAGTTTAAATATCTGATTTTCATATTGGATGTCAGGAACAATAGATTATTTTACCCATGGGAAAAATTTTTCTTTCTTATGCAAAATATTTTCATTGTTCCTGCCATCCAACATGGCTGCTGTGCAAAACCTCTATTCACTAGCATTGATACATACAGTCATGGTAGTTTGCTTCAAGAAATACCAGTCAAATAAATATGGCACTTGATCCAGAACTTTAGGCATTTAGAAAGTCTATACTTCAAATTGGCTGAAATCTGATTCTGATCTCTCAAAGATATGATGCTCAGTTTCCACATAAAAATGAAACTTTTAATTTTTTTAAAAATGGATTCAATTGTTCCACCAGCTTGTTCCAGCTAGGAAGATTTTTTAATGTATTTGTGTACCTAGCTTGTAAAATTGTGCCAAGAATCTTAAACATCTCAAACTGGTTTTGTTTCGCAAGGAGACAAACACAACAAGTAATGATCGTGGGAATAAGTGGAGCTGACTTAAATTTGTAATCATGTGAGAGATTAACAAAATCAGACAACCATGCGCAAGTCCAATTTTTTAGTCAAAAGTAAGATCACAGAATTGGATGACACAATGTCTTGTTACCAATTAATCAAAAGTATGACAAAATTTGGGAAACAAACTAGCCTTCGGTTATGCATTTTCTTAAATGACAGTGGCTGAAATGCATAACATCGGGGTGTGCACATAACACATGCAGTTCAGTTACACCGTCTAATTACAAGTATGATGTGGACACAGCCACACCAGTGCTCAAATGGGGCTTGTAGTAATCTGTATGTTCAAGAGTTTTCTTAAGAGTTTTGATTAAGTTTGAAACTGTTCATTGCAGGTGAAACTACCCCAAAAGTTTTATGAGTCCTTTTAGCCTTTTTTTGTCTGTGAGTGAACAACCAAACAGTTAGTAACTTGAACTGTTGTGTAATTGTCACAAAATATTTTCTTAACTTGTTTTGTCATGAGTAGTGATGTTAATTTTCTGTACCAACAGGCCCAAGCAGTTCATGACCTGGCTGATCAGATTGGAAAAAAACTTGCCGAAGCAGAGACTGTGGGTATGTTAAATTGTTGTAATTGTAATGTAGTGCCAGTTTACAGAGGAGAACAAGCATCCAGTCTTTCCTCTTCCCCATGCCTTTTTAACCATGGTTTTGTCAGGAATCTTCCGATTGCTTCTAACACAAGAGATTTTCCCAATAATATTCACGTTAAAATGATCCACAGATTTGACACACTTAACTATTTTTAATGTCCCAAAACCAACACTCGCTCAATCACACGCCGCCTCGCACATGATTATTTTTTCTTAAATCCTAATCTTACATCACGTGATTACAGCTGATCAATGGGTAACGAGAATGAAAGGAACAAAGTTCACTTCCACAGCGTGACATTCACGCAGTCCATTTCTCAACAGTTTGCAACATCTGATCCTTTAACCTAACATCAGTATGCACATTCTCCAAACTGTTCTCTATACATTTCTTGAAGTACGTGTAAGGAAATGAATTTTTTTCCTAACAATCAAGGGCCTTTTGAGTTTGTGATCATTTGCTTTCTTCTTGTGGCCCTACTGTTTGATTTAAGGGTGATACTTTGGGGAGAAATGAGATGCTCATTACTATAAGTGGTTGAAGGGTCAAGCTTTCCTTGCATGTCATCGTGCATGTTATTATTTTGAAACTTGTGTGTTCGTTTTGGTAGGAGCTGAGGGCAAAGTAGAGGAGTCAATGGAACTTATGAAGGAGGTGGAAGACTTAAAAGCAAAGAAAAAAATGGCAGAGGTATGCTTTGAAATATTGCTTTTTTTTTGTTTTCAAGGAGTAATGTAGGTAATCAGTTAGTTCCCATGTAGAAATTTGAAGCAAAGGAATGATCCTCATAGTTGAACTGCAATTTAAGTAGATTTTGTAACTGCAGAAAAGAAGCCTGAGATATTCAGGCTTTAAGGGGATTCAAAGGCTTCACACACATCAAATCCTGAATTTTCAGGCTTCTCTGCTACTGCAGAAGTTGCACTCCAGCTGCAAAGGTCATTTTGATTTTCATTGGCCGGTCAAATTGAATTAATTTCATTGTAAAATTAAAAAAAATTGCATTGTACACTGTTCAAGGTTATATTCATGTGCCTGAAGTATAAACAATGAGAACTGCAAGGAAACTGCTTTGATACTTTTAACCCATGTCTGAAATAAATTGATTCAGTTTAGTGATGGGCTCTGTTTTATTTTCCTAAAGGATATATATCGAGAGTCACTTCCTTCATCCTCGCTACAGCAACAAAAACTGAGGGTTTGTGAGGTGTGTGCAGCATACCTCAGCTTGTATGACAATGATCGCAGGTGAGATCCGAATTATGGACGATGTGCAACTTAAAAATTTTGCGCTAGGAAATTAAATTTTATCACATTTTGCAATTATTTGCATGTTGTAATCCAAATTTTGGTAGAATATTTAAATATGTTGAATATGTTCTTGTACAGCTGTGTCCCTCATAATAGTGTTTTACAAACTCCTTATGTAGTGTTATCATTCAGGGGTGAGTGGTCCTGAAAAGGACTGACATAGGCACTTGTAACTAATCTTTGGACAACCTATGAGAAAATCATCACTTAAGTCAAGTGATTCTGTTCCCATGCAAGCCTAGTTGACCCTCTGATCTGCTGGAATTTTTATTTCACTTGGCTCTGATGATGACTTTACTGAGGTTGTAGAAATGCCAGTTACTAGGGACTTTAAGCAAACCACCACAGCTACGGCAACGAGAACGTGGAAAAACAATAGATCTAATTGGCGGAACAATAGCCTAGCACGTGCGTTTTAAAACTTTGTACATTTCTTAGCCGTCCTTTGCAAAACAACAACGTGAAATCACCAAAATTTGCGTCGTCTGCGCAGCGAAACCGCGGCGGCAAATTCTTTTAATTTACATTTGGAACTCAATGCTACTTTTATGTGTTATGTTGAGTTCGAGGTCTGGCGCCCTATGAGACGGTAAACACATGCAGCCATTTTCGAAATTCTAACTAAAAGTAGAAACTCATTTTTTTAAGCGACGTCTTCCCTGGCGTTGCCTTCCTGACTGCTTAAGGTCCCTAGTGTTACCAACAACTGTCCTTGTGAGGGTCTACTTACACTCAACTGGTGACCAGGTCACATGATCAACTTTTGCCTCTGAAATCAAACCTTTTACTGTTAGACTCTGCATGTGGTGTTTAAATTGAGCAGTGATGTGAGAAGTGTTTGGTATAGTGTATAATGTTGATAGGGATACGTAATGAACATTGTAAAATACTCTTTTAGAACTTTTATTCATGTAGCAATTTTTGCTCCTCTCAACTATTCTTTTGGGCTGTAGGTTATAGCTGATGTCAGAGGAATTTATCGGCTGATAATTAACTTGTTAAAAATTTTAATTTTTAACCAGGTTGGCTGATCACTTTGGAGGAAAACTTCACATGGGTTTCATCAAAATCCGGGACAGGCTGAAGGAACTGCAGGTATCAACGAAATAAAGTCTTAATCTCATGTTTAAGCAACTTTAAAAGCTCGTAAAACTAAGCTGATTAAGATGGAACTTCTCCTCATGTCATCTGNCAGGGGTGAGTGGTCCTGAAAAGGACTGACATAGGCACTTGTAACTAATCTTTGGACATCCTGAGAGAAAATCATTACTCAAGTCAAGTGATTCTGTTCCCATGCAAGCCTAGTTGACCCTCTGATCTGCTGGAATTTTTATTTCACTTGGCTCTGATGATGATTTTACTGAGGTTGTAGAAATGCCAGTTACTGTTACCAACAACAGTCCTTGTGAGGGTCTACTTACACTCAACTGGTGACCAGGTCACATGATCAACTTTTGCCTCTGAAATCAAACCTTTTACTGTTAGACTCTGCATGTGGTGTTTAAATTGAGCAGTGATGTGAGAAGTGTTTGGTATAGTGTATAATGTTGATAGGGATACGTAATGAACATTGTAAAATACTCTTTTAGAACTTTTATTCATGTAGCAATTTTTGCTCCTCTCAACTATTCTTTTGGGCTGTAGGTTATAGCTGATGTCAGAGGAATTTATCGGCTGATAATTAACTTGTTAAAAATTTTAATTTTTAACCAGGTTGGCTGATCACTTTGGAGGAAAACTTCACATGGGTTTCATCAAAATCCGGGACAGGCTGAAGGAACTGCAGGTATCAACGAAATAAAGTCTTAATCTCATGTTTAAGCAACTTTAAAAGCTCGTAAAACTAAGCTGATTAAGATGGAACTTCTCCTCATGTCATCTGTGTTATCTGTAAAACAAGGGATGAGACCAGACAAGTACTTAGTTAAGTGTAAGCGGAGGGTGTCACACTTACCTTGATGTAACTTCAATTTCTGTCAACGAATTTACAGGAAAATGTGTGGTAGCGTGAAAGGAGAATTTCAAAGCGGATCTTGGGTCCAAGTCTAATTGAGTATCGTATTAATTTGTTTGATAGGATGGAGTGGCTAAAAAGCGATCTGAGAGAGAAATGGAGAGGATACGTCGTCGCGAAGAAAGAGAACGCGAGCGGGAACAAGAGAAACGCGAACGAGAAAAAAGAATGAGGGGGGAAAGAGATCGGGATAGAGAGCGGTATGTTTTATTCCTTTTAGAATTGTTTAATTGTCAAGTACCATGTTCACTGTACTTCTTTTCTAATATTGCTCTGGTTTTTATTTCCTGTAAATGATTGGTGTTCCCGCGTGCACTGGCAACAGTATTGTCAAACACTTGGCGCGTGTAGTGAAATTTTTTTTTACGTGATAAAAAAAAGTTTTTCCAACAAAACTATTGAGTGAAAAGAGTGTAAGTAGTTGATTAAGGAGTTGAAAGGGTACATTGTTTAAATGAACCACTAACGTACGTCGCTTTTTCAACTCGCTTTTTTAGTCAAATTATAAATGGCAAAATGTATGGAGACGACTTTTACCGGTAAACTGCGCTAACACGTATCAACAAAAACCCGTGTGAACCGGTAGAGCTGTAGGGTGGCATATTTCAGTTTGTTGTCTTACAGCCAAAGCTAAAAATAACCACAACAACAACCAGGTCGGTCGAACGCCTAAATTTTCCCTCAGAACGCTGGAAATCGTGTTTCCGAAGACCTAGTTTTTAAAATCTTGGACCCCTCAGGAGGGGAACAGTTCTCCGAACCTCCCTTGACTAAATCCTGGATCGCCCCCAGCCAGCAGAAGGGTTTATATGACAGAAAAAAAGTAAAGAAAAAAGTAAAGAAAAGAAAAAAAGTAAAAGCTAGGAAACTCCGTACGCGCGGGAAAACGGGAGTGACCAAGTTCGCGATTAGTTCAGTTTAACATCTGATTGGTTGAGAGCCTAGTGCGCTTTTTCTCTCGACCAATTACAAGGCAAAGCAATGGCCATCTGGGATACGTTCGTCACTCATGCGAAAACCATTTAAACGTTCCAAAATGCCAGCACTCTTCTCTCATTAACTAACCTTTTGCTTTCCCACTGTTTCCACCAGGAGCCGCCGCCGGCGAAGTCGAAGTCGTAGCCGAAGTAGAGAGAGAAGGAGAAGAAGAAGGTAATTATGGAAATTGTCATGCTATTATACTCAGTAATTTTAGCCAATGTACTCGTAAACTTTTCCTGGGATAAATTTTCTTTTTTTTG